AAAACATGCACACTCCATATTGGACAATTTACAAAAAGAACCCTTTAATGAAGAACAATGAAATCTTCCAATGTAATATCATTTTCTCAAAAATCAAATGTTTTTAGTACACAACCACTACTAATGCTATGAAGGTTCCCTCTAAATCCCAAAAGTTCCCAAATTCTTCCTCAGCTCAACCAATTGAATTGAATTATTTAGCAGAGTTGTAAATTGATTATTTATATAAATATTGGTTAATTATAATCATAATAATCACGGATTAACTTTTTTTTTTTAATATTTGAACTCTCGATCCAGTGTCTTAACTAATTAAATTGAATTATGCTAATACTCCATTAAATGGAATCATAATAATAACTAAATATGAATTTATTTTTGGGAAATGTTTAAATAGTTATTGTTGAGTTAACATTCTTTTACCTACTTAAATTTGTTGTCAGGTTCAGGTATTCCATGATTTAGTTTCGGATATTTTTGTGGTATTGATTTAGAGTTTTCTATTTTTATTTTTTATGTGTGTGTTGAATTTAGTGTGATTTTTTTAATTAATTTGCGAATAGTTTTCTAATTTAGATTTAAAGAAGTATTAAATGCATCGCTTATTCAAAGTTCAGAATTTAATCGGACAAAATTGAAATTTAAGATTAAACTTGAAGTATAAGTGTAAAAATGATTTTTCTCATTATGCTTTATTATCTACTTTTAGGTTATAATTTTATCTAAATTAAATTAGATATATAATTTTTATTATGTTAATTTTTTTTTGAATAAATTAGTTCGACTTCGACCTAAATAATAAATATAATTTAAGGAAAGAAGATCTCCAAAATTTTAACTCACCTATTATTTTATGCTAATGTGTGTATATAGAAACTTTATTGTTAAGATATGGTGATTACTTAGATAAACCATACTAATAACAACAATATAACAATTCTAAAGTATTAAAGTTTTATTAAAGTAATGTCCTAGTTTTGGACTTTGTAATAAAGACAATTATTACATGGACGGATTCTTTATTTAAGGAAGAATGTTGGTTGTTACATAATTTCTCAAATTGTTATACCCTAAGATTAAATTAGTAAGCTATTGTTTTCAAGAGCTAGCTAAATATGAGTGAAGCACGCCCTACATTATAAACAAATTATTGTTGGCATATATTTTTCAATACGAATTGTTTAATGGATATATAAACTTTTTTTTCCAGGATATTACATCATCAAAATAGAGTGGAAATTCGAACCTACAAACATTAAAAAGATTGCAGTAAGAAAATGAATACCTTATGGTTGGTTCGGTAACATTTCTATTTCTTGTTTCTGTTTCCTCATTTTTAAATAAAGAATAATGAAATTGCATGGCGTCAACTCCCATAGATTCAAGAGTGATAAAATAATATTTTTATTTATGTTTTCGAACAAATTAAAAATGAGAACAAAAAACATAAATAGTTGTCAAATACTTAGGTTTTTTAATAAAATAAAAAATGAAAAATGAAAAACGAAAACATTGCGAAATGAGCCCTTAATTACTAAGTCATGTTTTAGTTTATATAATATATATATATATAAAAGATAGCTTAGCAACCAATAATAGAATATAGTCCCTCCCATTTGTCATTTGTCATAAGTGATGTGTGGTCCAAGAAAAAAAGATGTTAACCTAGATTGACGATTAAGAAAATTTTGAAAAAGTTAATCATACGAACTTATATTATTGACTAAAATGATAATTTTTTAGTTTAAATTATATTTTGATATTTTATTTTGATTTTAAATTTTAAAAGTGTTTATTTTAATACTTACATCTCAGGTGGTCGTTCTAAATATGATTAAATGATTTAGGGAAAAAGAAAAAAGAAAAATGATTCTAAATATGATTAAATGATTTAGGGAAAAAGAAAAAAGAAAAATGGTTGATAGTTGAATCAAAATAATTATTTTAAAAAATTCAACGACGCCAATCAGTTAAAAAATTCAAAGACTAAACTAAAATAGATTTAAAAGTTGAAGAAGAAAATGAAATTCAAATATTCTTTTACCTCTATTATTTAACAAATATTAATAACTCAATTTAAATTGTTTTAAAATATATATGAAAAAGAATTAGGCCTGAAGTGGACACGTGTCGAGCAATAATTAGACAAGTATTGCAAATGCTCTCTCATACTTTATTGGTTGACTTCAGTCCACTTACAGTCAAACTTGTCTCTGACCAATCACTTATTTTTACTTTTTTTTTACCATTCTTTTGATGATTTCTTAACTTCAAAGCAACGGTATATATTTTATTCTTAATAAATATTTATAAATTATAATTAATTGTCAATCTGAATATAGATCAATGGTTGAAAATCCAAATAAATCCAAATAGATCGGAGTTTGAATTGAACTAAAAAATAAACAAATAACTTGAGAGAAAATTTGATTTTCCTTTTTACTCCTTTCGAATTTACTTTATTTTTAAATGTTAGGTTCATCTTACCGTTTTTAATTATATTGTTTTAATAATATTATAATTGAAAATTATACTAAAGGGCAAAAAACAAATATATTTCTATAAAAAATTATTACTCTTTAAATGTAATGCTATATATATAAATTGTACTAGTTTTATAATTCTCTCATCACATAAGGTAAATTTGTATTTACATATATAATAAATAGTTTAAAATTTTGCAAAAACAAGATAATTCATATAAAAATCAAACTCAAATGTAAAGTAAAACACATAAAAAAAATCAAATTCACGCCATATTTGAAAAGAAAATTAAAATTGTCACATTTTAAAAAATAAATATTAAAAGAGTGAAAAATTTTCATTTTTATTGTTTATAGGCAAAATTTCAATATCATTTACTTTTTATTAAACAATACCCGAGATCCATTTTAATACTATTTAAATAATATCCATAAAAGTACGGAGCATGGTGAAGTTAGCTGGTGCAAAGCTAGGTTGGATATCCATTTAAGTACCGTACTAAAAGATATTTACCTTCTTTTTTTCTTTTTTGTTTAATAAAAATATTTAATGAAGGCACACAAAAAATGGCGGTGGTCGAGTATAAAAGCCAATCACAAGCGTCAGTTATTCCGCGCATTTGCAGACCAATAGAAAACTCTCTTAGAACTTAGAAGTTGGAGCTCCGAAGGGGACGGCCATGGCGGAATCTCGGCGCTCATTGGGCCTCAACGGCTTTCTGTTTCTCTCGCACGTTTCAATTTCTGT